GGGCCCACTTCCCTAACGTCTGATTGGTCCATTTGTAGTACTTCATTTGCATGGAGCTCACTCCTGATTGGTTATTTCTCTCACTCCTGATTGGTCTATTTCTACAAAGCTTGTTCCTGGTTGCTCAACTTTTGTTATACTTTATTTGCATATGATGTTGTAAGTGTAAAACTGGCAGCCTATAAAGGCCTGTGTAGACCCACAGAAAGGGTTGAGAGCTTGGAGTGTTAACCCTTGTGGGCCTGCTGGCCTAGTAAACCTGAGTTCTCCAACTCTCTGAGTGCTGCTTGGTCTCTTGCTGGGATCCAGGTTGCTGTCACAACTGAGTTGTAACACATTTTTCTGCAACACTAATAAGCTGTCAATTATTCCCAAAGAAAGCAAGACATGTGTGTTACACTTGGCAACACTGACTCACTCCCATTCTTTCCTGTAGCTTTTCTTCCGAAGTCATCCGAAATCAACTGGTCAGTATGCAGGAGGTGTTAAGGCTGCAGCTCTCCTAGGAGGATTCTCAAAGCCTCTGCTTCATATTACTAAAAATCAAAATTCAAATGAAGACATTTTAAAGGTCTGATTGACTTTATTGAATGATTCACAAATGAGCAGCGTCCAGTCTAGCGAGCAGAAAGGAGCCCCTAGGACCTGTTCAAACTGAACTACTACTTTCTACAGGCAGAGGAGGGTGAGAACAAGGAAGTCATACCTGGAAAAACAGTGGGCTGTTTATGGCAAAGTCACTGACCTTTAGGGGGTGGGCGGCAGTTCATCAGACAGATGACCTCATTAGTGCTACCTGGAGGATTCCTGACTGACCGGTTTAGGATTCCACTTCTGGGAGAGCCCCCAACGGCAATCACATTAAGCCAGGGTTTGGTGACGTGGGGCTCAGCACTGAGGGGCTCCATTTTGAGCCTACACTCTTGTTTTTAACAATATAGAAATATCTATGCAAAAGAAAATAAATTATTGAGTTTAAGTTTTCTAAAAAAAGTGTTTCCCCAGTTTTCAGGCCTAGGTTATAGCTATAAATTCTAAAGAGCCCAAACTGTGAAGTATTAAGCTAAGACTATAGCCAGTTGTTAGTTCTAGGTCACACGAGCAGTTTATATGTGCAGCGCACGCGCGCACAAACACACACACACACACACACACACACAGAGTTATACATATGCATTGGGGCTCCACTACAAAATACTTGCAGTTAAAAGACACTTTAAAATTGGACGGTGGATTACAGTGTTTCTCAGCCTTTGTGACACTGGACACATATTTGTTTGCATCAGTGATCAGGGGCAAAACGCTCAAGGGGAAAACACGGTACCCTTCCTCGACACCTGTTGTGATAAGGTTTTCAGAGACCCACTGTGGCAAACCATTGAGGAAAATCTGCACCTTCACTTTGGTGGGATAAAAACCGAAGTCCGTAAGGGGAAGTGGAAGTAACGTTGCTACAACTCAGTTCCTTCTTTGCCCATCAAAAAAATACACGACAGGAAATGTTACTCACACTGAAAATACACCATTAAGCCACGCAAAAAAAAAAAAAACTGCAAATAAAGGAAATTTTGAAAAGGACTTAGATGAGTTTCAGTGAAAACATTCTTTATTGGTCAGCAGACACAAAGCTTTTTGGTTACATGTCATGCAAGACAATGACCTCACCATGGTGATCTAGCTGCTTACTGTAACAATCTTTTCTGAGATGATTATAAATTCTAAAAGTTACAGTGACTGCAACAGTAAAAAGAATTCAGGAAAACTCTAGATGAAGCAAAACACTGCAGGACACAGGAAGGGACATCCCTCTGGGTGTCTCATCCTCCCTCCTGGTGGAAGGTCTTTTTGGGAGACTACTCTATACAAAAACGGCAGTGTTTTTCTGTGTGTCTATAAGCACTCTGTCCAACTGATAAAAACAAACCACAAGAATAAGATTTCACATAACTTTACAGGGTCTGGTTAATTTTCTTCTCCTTTTTGTTAATCGAAAACTGGGCGATGACCTTTTATTTTAAATGTCACTAGATTATTTCCCTAGGAATAGGACCTTCCTTCTTGAAAACGTAGTTTTATCCCTGGAAATCTTTTTGAACAGAAGCTGACTTTTTGAACTGTTATTCCTGTCTTCTCCTAGTTGTTTTCAATCAGTGGAAAGAAACAGGGCTCCCTATTCTGAGAAGACTCAGGAATATTCTTCTTACTCTATATTAGAGCTCTGAGAGTTTTCTCTGTGGTGGTGAGATGACACCTTGGTCATGTGGCAGCTCTGGTGGCACCCCTACCGTCCACGCCCCTGGCTCCTTGAAGTGACCAGAGCCCCCAGAGAAGGGAGGTCCACATCTCCCCTGGGCACTGCAAGTCAACTGGCAGTGAGCAGACTTTTCCAGTCGCCTGGAAATGGGTGCTGCTGCAACAAATGCCTAAAACGCAGAAGTGGCTCTGGAACTGGGCAGTGGGGAGAGGTTGGAAGACTCTTCCAGGAGCAAGACGAGAGCGCCAAGATTGCCTCCAATACTGTTAGCATTAACATCCGGGCGTTAATGCGGGCGCGGGCTCCGAGGGGCGGGGCACGGGAGGGAAGAGCTCAGCTGCTGGGCAGACACCGTCGGTGGACGTGAGGACACTAAAGGTGCCCCGCGAGGGCTCAGCAGGAGGTGAGCAACACGGTGTCGGAATCTGGAGGAAGAGTCCAGCGAGAACAGTGGCAGAAAGCTTAGCTGAGCTGTGACTGTGGCCGTGTGGAAAGCAAACGGCAGAGTGAGAATTAAGATATGTAACTGAAGAGATTTCCAAGCAAAGTGTGGAAGGTGCAGCCTGCTGACTTCTTCCTGGTTACAGATAAATTGAAGGACTGTTTAAAAAACAAAAAACAGGATCTGATGACTTGGAAATTCTTAGCTTACCTAAATGGCAAAAGACATTAAAATGGAGAGATTCACTATCAGGAGGACCTGCCCCAGGTAAACAGAGTGCGGCCCTCCAACTGCTGCCAACACCCAAGAAACAAAATGTCTGAGAATTCAGTCCCACAGAAGGCTTTTTGGAGAGATTAAGGGTGTGGCTCACAGATCCCCTCAGTCATCTCAGAAAAAGCCAAAAATAGAGCCGGATGATCTAGGAAAGCTCTGTGGAGGAGCCTCTGGTCTAACAAAGGAGAGAATCTCTGTAACACATACAGCAGATCCACAAGTTTCTCGAGGGCGTTGACAGCAGCAGCCACTGTCGTTTAAAACCAAAAGGGAGAGATGGTGAGAAGTGAAAGAAGATGGCTGGGCCTCCCACAGTTCCACAGGCAAGACGTACGCTGATGAAACTCCGCAGCTGCAAACACGTGCTACCTTTCGTGAGAAAGAAGAGAACTCTGAGAGAAAGCCACGAGCCGAGAGGCTGCTGGTGGGAGCCACAGAGGACCCTTCACTCCTGGGCTTTGGAATCTGACGGTGGGTCCCTCGCTGGACTTCTAAATTGCTCAGCACTGGTGGCTCTTTTTTTTTTTTTTAAAGCAAGACTGTAACTGCTATTCTATGCCTTTCCTACCATCGTATGTGGGAGCAGATACGCGGTTTTCTAGGTTCCCAGGTGCACAGATGAGAGAAACTGTGTCCCAGGGATCATACCCAGATCCCCCTCTTACTTGATTCAGATGATTTAAATGAGATTTGGGACTTCCGCGCTGGTGAGATTCAGTTAGGATTTTGCACCTCAAGTTGCTGTTCTGATGGGCTGAGACTTTCGAGCACCCCTGGATGGGTGACTTTTACTTGGAATGTGAATCTCTGGGACAGGAGTGGACTGTGGTAGACAGAATGGCCCCCCAGATGTTCATGTTCTAATCCTCAAATCAATGAATTTGTTATCTTACATGGTAAAAGAGATTTAGCAGGTGTGATTACATTAAGCATTTTGAGATGAGATTAACCCAGATTATCTAGGTAAACCAAATGTAGTCACTAGGCTCCTTCTAAGAAGATAGCAGAAGAATCACAGTTGGTGTAAAAGACTTCAGGACAAGCAGAGGTCGGAGGGACACAGCCACAGTGACAGGATGCCAGCAGCCTCGACAGGCTGGAAGAGGCAAGGAACAGGTTCACCCCCAGGGCCCCCAGAAGGAGCTTGTGACACATCCACTTACACAGCAAAAGGGGCTTTACGGGATTGGTTAAGGTTACTATGGACCTTATGATGAGGAGATAATCCTACATTATCTGGCAGATCTAATCTAATCACATGAGTCCTTAAAAGCAGAGAATCTTCCCTGGCTGTTGTCAGAGGGAGGTGATGACGGCGAAGAGTCAGAGACACAATGCTGCCAGCTTTGAGGATGGAAGAGGGGCCCACAGGCCAAAGGACGCAGGGGGCCTCTAGGAGCTGGAAGGCAAGGCAAGGCTTCTGCCCCGGAGCCTCCCGAAAGGGATGCAGCCCCGCCGACACTGACGCGAGGCCCACGTGGGACGTGTAGCCTACAGAAGTAAGAAACCTGCGCTATTTTAAGCCACTAAATTTGTAGTAATTGGTTACCGCAGTAAGAGAAGACTGACCAGGAGCAGTGCCCAAAGACGCAAGGTGTCCGGGAAGAAGACGGGCTTCTCTCTCAGTCCTGCTGTAGCCCCTCGCTGAGGAGGCCCCAGGCTTCAGCAGAAGTGCACGTTCACGCTGGGAACCCTTCAGGTCCAGTCCGGCTGACAGAATTTACATCTCTGTATTTCTGAACTCGTTTTGTCCTGGCGTAGAGAATATTCTGGGTTGAGCACTTAGAACAGTGCTTAGTATTCACAGTGGGTCCCCTAGTGGGTCCCACGTGTTGAATGAATAAACGAAGGTGATCAAGGCAGGCTGAGAGGGACTGTAACCACTCCACTCTGCAGTGCTTTTAGCACATCTTCTCAAGAACTGCTGACCCTGTGTCTTTGTTTCTAGTTTATGATGGTCATAGTTCTGCAAAATACCAAGCTAAACTGTATTTTCTGACGTGAGGAATACAGCTAAATCAGCAAGTAAAAAGGACGTGTAAAATCTTCATAGGAGAAGTAATTATTGTATGATCAAAGTATTTCAAAATCCGATTTTGGATACTTTTCAGTATACATTACAGAAAAATTTTCAAATTATTTTGTCAGAAGATTTCTGAATGGCTGTTAATCAAGGCAGCATTAAGAAACTTTTAGTGCAAATTTTATCAAATGCATTTATCAGAATGGGGTTTTGTTCATTTTCTCTGCAAACAAACGCTGTGACATTAATTCTGAGCACGGAACAAACTGATTTGCCTGAATATTTAAAAGCTATCACCAGAAGCCAGCCCTTGTAACGAAAACCTCAAACATTTTTATCTTCGAGATCGATTCTGAGCCCAAATTCGTCTATACCAAAGCTGGAAGAAAGGATAAGAATAAACCCCAAATTTATCTGTATAAATAATAAAAATAACTTTTTTTTGCTCTAAGTGTCTTCCTCACTGACACGGCGCACCATCCGACCGACGCGCCACCGCGGGGACAGGAGCAGCGCTACTTCAGCTGCTGGAGGACCACAGTGTTGAGAATGTCTGCTTCCTGCAGCGTCAGGTTTTCATCTGCTAACTCTCTGTTTGGAAACGAAGTCACGAGAGTAAAGTCAAGAGCTGCAAATTCAGGACGGGACTGTACAATAAAGTCCCGGACATCCAGGATCCTGAAGAAGTAAGATAAAAATAATGTGTGATACGGGAGTGTTACTGTCTTGGAAGCTTTTAGCTAAAACTAGATAATAATAATAAAATTGCACAATTCTAACTAATCCTTATTTAAATGTGTTGTAACTTTCTTTAATGAATGGATTTATCTTGACTTGCAGATAATACATGAGGATTAATTTTGGAGCGTCCCTAACAGTTCCTTTCACCGTAAACAGATACAATCTTTAAGGTAAGTTATGCATTAAAAATAAATGTCAACAATGTTACTACCCTGAAAGTGCAGGTCCTGTTTTTTTTCAGAGTATGAAGTATCTCAGCAGCACATGACCCAGAAAAAGGTACCTTGGATTGGCCTGTGTCAACATGAGTCTATAACTATGAAGTGTAAGTTATAAGAATAATTAAAAAAAATTACTTTCGCACATACATAGAAACTCAGCTAAGATCATAAACATTACCTCTTAGAGGGATACAATGAACAAATAATATCTTACAAGCACAACAAATGTACAAACAAATGTTAAAATTATGTTTAAAATCATTTATTTGAAGTACTTGACAAGAACACAATAAACTTTACACTATAAATTTATGTTATAAAGAGTCTGTCATGTAGAAAGTTAATCCCAGTCAGGGTTACCATTAGTTTTTTAAACGAGTCAAGTGCAAATAAGGCTTTACTAGCGTAAACCTAGTCTGCTGCAGCTTCCCGTGGCGTTAGCACAACAGTGCAGAGCTGCAGCTTCTAACAGCTCTACTTCTGAGTGGTGTCTGGATCTGCATTAGGATTTGGGCCGTTTAAAGAGGATGTTTAAACACTAAGTGTTTCAGTTCTCACACACAGCTGTCATCCTTTTAAAGTTTTTGCCTTCTGTCAAAAACTACCTTCAAAAGTAAATCTAAAGAATTTCATATTCTTCATGACACAAGCCGCACGCGGTTTTACACAGACAAGTAACCACAAGCTTACCTGTGTGTGCTATTGAATCTTTGTATCAAACGGCTCCCATCTGCTAACCTGACCTGAATTTTTGTCGTTGGCACTGAATCATCAATGAGGACAACTGCGTTCAGTAGTGACTTCTCCTCCTCTTCTGGGGAGGAAGGCGTACTGACTATTTCGGGCGTAAGGCTAAGAAGGAAGAATTAAAGAATCAGAACATAAATCTAAAGACATAAGACGCATGATGAACTGAAGGCGGCAGACCCACCACTGGCCCTGCAGCTGGCTCTCGAGTTCCTGTGCCTCCGGCTTCTGACCAGTGAGAACAGGGCTTCCCTGGAGTTTCCTCTACCTCTCCCAACCTCTTTCATTATGTGAAAATACTGGATCCTACGATTCTGATTTAGCTTACACGATCTCTTTTAAAGAGATCTGTACTCTGTATTCCTTCCTCCTTTATCCCTGTTTTCTACAATCAAACACCTTGACTAAAGCGGCTAATGATCATCACAGCACCACTGCCTCTTATCGGTCATTCTCCCCATCGCTTTCTCTCTCTCTTTTTTGGGGGTCATTTTCTCTAGCTATCTGCCTGACAAAGAAAAAGGCTGGCCGTTGTAAGATACTATGATCAGATAATAAATCCTTATTTTCATGAGTTCAAATTGCCAATTATAATCACTGGGTCTTCTTGGCGATCTTCCCTTTAGGCAACCTTCTTCAATTTCAGTTGTAGGTTTACTATACAGTTGACCCTTGAACATCATGAGTTTGAACTGGGCAGGTCCACGTACATGCGGATTTTCTTCCATAGCAAATGCCAGAGCACTACACGATCTGCGGCTGGTTGACTCCGAGATGGGGAATCGTGGGTACAGAGAGCCAATTATAAGCTACGAGAGGAGTTCCAACTGCTTGGAGGGTCAGTTCCCCAGCCCCTATGTTGTTCAAGGGTTAACTGTCCTTCTACTAACAAAGACGTGCATTCTAACATTAATGCTTGGTCACAAATTTAAATAATAGAGAAACAATATGTATGAAGCACAGAGATGACTGGGCATTTTATCTGTGTTTTAATTAAAAATCATAATCTGAATAAATATTAAGTAAAAATAAGAAGAGCTAGCAAATATTTAAAAAAAAATCCGGGGGTCATACTAAAGTCAAAAGGAGGGAAAAAACAGAACCCAGGAGAAGCCTAGCTGTGTTGGTAGTAGAGAGAGACAAAGGAGAAAGTTTCCAAGCAGCCCTGGGCTTGGGCACTAGAGGATCTGGGTCCTAAAAAGAGCCAGGTCAACACATGTTCTGTATTCTCCACGTCTCAGAAATCAGTCTCTAGCTGCAGAAAATGATACAGAAAGGGAGACCTGAGACATCAAAGACAAGCGTAAAGAACTGATAACACGGAATTCTTTCCCACGTTGAGAAACAAGAAGGCAAGAGGGAACAGAGTGCACAAGCCAAAAGGAGCTCGGAATGGAAGGAAAGACATGAAAAGGAACAAAGGAGGCACAGAAGGTAGGTACCTTGGGAAACACAGCCAGTGCCACCATTCAACATGCCACCTGCAGTGACGTGTGGACAAGCAGAGGGCCACGTGCACCAGCCTACTTCACAAGGTTTATGGAGAGTCAGCCATGGCTATTACAAAGGAGCCCCTTTGTACGTTATACCAAGCAGACTGGCTTCTAAATGTGCTTGGCCGAGTCCTAGGGTTCTCTGGAAATGTCTGAGACGATCCTCTCTCCCTACAAATGAAGGAGCTCAGGCTCTCTGTGTGTTACCATAACTTGAAGAGTTTGCCTGCTTAAAATATATTGAAAACAACCAACTTAAGCGCATTGCTTTTGCTGCAGGAGCTTAATAATTACTCACGGCAGACAGGCATGCTTACAGCTGTGAGCTAAGAAAACTACTGCTGCACCTAATCAACAACCCTCTACAGTATCCCCCTCTGAACCCAGCAGTCGCCATCAGAGAGGGCAGGATGGCACAGCACCGGAGAGCGCAGACGCCGGGGCCAGGGGGCCTGGCTGACTCGCACACCCGCCCACCTCCCGGCCCAGCCGCCCGGGCTCGTCACTGCAGCTGCAAGCGGAGCACTGACAGCATCCGTGTCAGGCAGCTGCTGTGAAGACCGAACGAGTTAGAGCGTGTGAAAGTGCCACCTCAGCGCCAGCTACCAGTACTACCCCCAGATCCGCACGTCCAATTCCAGCAGCAAGGTCTTCACAGCTCATTCTTTAGTTCTTACTTTCTAGGCTACTTTGCTTTTCTTATTTTCAAAGAAAATTCACGTTGAACAACGACAAGTATTTTCCTCATTTTAGGATTTTACCTCCCAAGTTTTTGCCCCTCTCCACTGAAAGCCTTGAACCTCAGTCGAGGTCTGATGTACTCTTGGTCCTGGTGGTCCTCCATGTCCAAATTCACGTGGCCTCCGTGAACCAGGCGCTGAAGCTCCACGGGAATCTCTCTTAAAAACGGAAGGACGTTTTATTGTTTTGAAAAATGAGCCTACACTGTTGAGACTGCTGGGTGGTTAAGCTGTGAGACTGAAAACAGCAATTTTTGCTTAATTTATAATTTAAAAATTTCTGTGATGCCTGATTAGCCCCTGCAGGTATTTCTCCCTTAGGGTCACATCACACTATCCGTAGTGATTCTCCACGAGAGGGACTCCCAGCGTCCCGGCGAACCTGGAGCCCTTCTGATGTTTAGGAAGATGAACTGCAAGACGGCAGCTCAGCTCGAAGTCAGCACTAGGAAATTCCTATGTGGGCAGAGCAATTAACACACAAACTGATTTCTAAATTCCTGCAGGAAGTTGGGAATTTGAGTGTCGTGTGATTTGTGAGTGCCGCCCTCCCTCGCAGTCTGCACCGGGGTGGGAGATGCTCAAGCCAGGGGGACCACCCTGCACAAGGAAAATCTGGCTCAACTTCCAGGGAACCACTGAGGGCCCTGCCAGAGGTTCCCACGGAGGACCATGCTGTTTATAACATCTGAGGCTGAAACTTAAGGCTTAGGCTCTGTCTTACACATAAGCAAATGTTGTTATTTATTCTTTTAATATTGTATTAATATGCTTTGAAATTTTCAGGAACTCATCTGCCATAAACTGAAGGAAGACTGCACTTTGTTTTGTTTGGAACTTTACCAAGTCCTGGACTGCAATGCCACTTATACAGTAATTAAGCTGCCAACTGCCTACACATCATTATTCTGTTTGTGTGTTTGTCACATCAACATGAGAAGTGCTGGACTGCACTTGGTGTGAACTATCTGACTGCTTCATTATGTCATCTGGCATGGTCATACCTGGGCATTTACAAATTGAAATATGTGTAATTTTGTGGTAAATTATCTTCCTTTATTTCATCATATTTAAAATAAATTTTATATGAATTTTTTGGAAATAATATGCATAGATAGGTTATATTATCTATAAATTCTTCTTTGAGGATAGTGAAGACTGTGCTACAAAATGTTTCTTGTAACCAGGGGACAATGATTATACAGCTGACAACCACTGTGTGACATCAATCATTTTTTTCAAGGAGTCTTCTAAAACTGTTCTCGATGATAATTTGTACTTGAGGGTGTGGTGTAGCTCAAATAAAAAAGTTCTTTTGGGGTGGGTAATAGCTCAGTGGTAGAGTGTGTGCTTAACATGCATGAGGTCCTGGGTTCAATCCCCAGTACATCCATTAGAAAAAAAAACCCTATACTTTAATAAATAAAAGTTAAAAAAATTCCTTTAGCATACCATGGTTGAACATTAGCTTACAAAGCTTGTCAAATGTTTTCATTTAGCAGCAAATTAGTTTTGATCTGTATTATAGCACATTCGCCACCAACATGTTTTTTCTTCTACCACCTTGAAGTAGGTGTCAATTTCAACATAACACTGACCTTCTCCTGGCAGATGGACTCTCCTCCTACCCTGGCCCCCGGCTCTCCCAGTGACCCTGCAGGCTCCCAAGTCCACATCCTTGTATTGATCCTTGTACTTATCACCACCACTGCCTCCCAGGACACCCTCCCACCTGTCTTCATGACTTCTGCATCTGCTTATATTTCTTGCCTTTCTTTGGTTTTCTGACATTATCCTTGTAAAATTCAAACTCAAAATCCATGCTAGTTAGTGTTCTAAAATGCCTTTCCTTTACAGTTCCTTGATTCCCTCAACTCCGATGAGTTTCAGCTCCACTCCACTTCAGCCCCTCTCCCTGGACAGACTTCATCACTTGGAAAAGCCCCGCCTTCAGCTCCTGGATGGAGTATACCTCCTGTTCCAGTCCCTTCACTGCTGTGTGAACCTCTCAGTTCTCACCAACCCAGTGTCTTCACTTGTATTTCTACTAAGGGGTGATCACACTGGCAGCTAGTGAAAGCAGAAGGCAGTAAAGTTTTTATAAAAACACAGCAAAATCACTTGATTCTTTGTCCTTTACAAGAGGGCTGGTGAGTTACAATGTTCTTTAGATGGGTCAGAGCACTGTTCAGTCTGGTTTACTTACACAAATTATAACCTCAAACTAACATTCTGAAATCTTCTGCCAGCAGTAATGCCACTTTATTTCTAATATAAGTGGCTGAATTTGAGGCCCACGTGCAATGAGAGTTACCCTGTCCGCGGTGAGCAGGGCAGTGGCTTAGTGGACGGGCAGCTTCCTGCTGATCAGTTCACTTACTACATCACTGTGCTTATTCTCAGGATTGGGACCACGGCTTCACCAGATTTTAGAAAGGACCAATGTCTACTGCTCCTCCCGCACCATGTTAAGAACCAGTGACTTACAGATACATAAAGGATTTATATACATAAAAATATACACATATATACTTTCATACGTATAAATACATATACATGTATAATACCCTTTATACACGTAAAAACACCCTTCCCCCAGCAACCACTTACAAAACATATTCCAGTAACCAATTAAAAACCCACGGAACACTACTGAATGGCGGTCTGTTTGTTTTTAAAAAAAGTCTCGCCCTCAGCAACAAACAGAATACAAATAATACATCTTACCCTCTCTTAACAGACTCCAGAAACTGAGCATTTGTTGGGTCACTGTAAGGTCTCAATTCTCCGTCGTCTAAACTGAAACCATTGCTCCACAGCTTAAGCAAAACCTGAACCTTTCGAGACAGGAAGAAGAGAAACATAAGCACCCGTCTGCATTAAACAATTTCAATTTTCAAACATATTTACAATTTACTTTATTTAAAATATGGAGTTACCGGTAGTTTTCCTTACGCAGCTAAAATAAAGACCTAAGTAAAACCACGTGTGTCTACTTAGCAGCTCTGTATTTAGCTTAACAAACTGACGATGGCTGAAACAGAAAGGTCCCACCGCAGGACCCTGGCCTTGAAGTACACAATTACTTCCGGTTCACCGAGGAAAACAGTCACACGAGCACCCAGCTGCCACTGCACACCTGCCTTCCCTGTCACCCGTGCCCAGGTTCCTCTCAGCTGCAGAGCTCAAACACTCACGGCAAGGGGCAGGACAGGATCTCCAGGGGCCCTCAAGGCTAAACTATACATGTTTAAAATGAAATGACGACCCCATGATTTCAAAAGGCAGAAACAAAGAATGACTTTAGGCATTTCTATCTTTATAACTCAGCTAATTCTGTACCATGACAGTATGCCATTTGTAATAATTATTATAACACACACGTAGGCTCGTTTGACAATGAGTCTTAATGTTCTTTGAACCAATAGTTGTGCATCTCTAAGTGCAAGGCATAACCGAGACGCAAAACACAAAATCTGAGCCTGATGCTTAGATACCAGTCCCTAACTCATGCTTTGAAAAATAACAGAACAAAAGGAGATTCTATTTATATTCTCAATTTTAAATTTTATAAAACACAGTAGTAATTACAGGCAAAAACCTACAACTTTGCATTTTCATTACTGTACCTACATCTTGCAACTGATTTTCTCCATAGATGTATTCAGACCGCTTACAAAAGGAGTTACCCAATCTGTAGCCTCCACCTGTAAAAGACTAAAATACACAGCAAATGAGCTAAAAACTCAGTAAGGCTTATTAAGCAAAATGTTATGATAATGGGTGCTATACATGTATTTTAAAATGAGATCAGCTGTAATTAGCTAAACTGGTTTATACTTTCCAGGACATTTTTATATTAAAATAAAGGTCTTATGTTACAGAGAATTGTACTCTAGTAAGAAATTATGTTTCTTCCCACCAAAACATTAATGACTCAGAAGCTGAAATAACTTAGGCCAATCTTAAAGTAAGAAATACATTTATACACTGAAATACTATTTTCAAGTAGAAACAGACTTTAGAAAAACACCACTAAGATTTTGACAAATCTTATAATAAAAATTATAAATCTTGAATCATATTTCACAAAGCGAATAAAAGTTTCATAGAGAAAGGAAGAATTTTACACGTGAGTATAAATTACCCTGAAGGAAAGTGCTATACATATTGTTGTATAAGCTTGGGGTGGATTATAGCTCAGTGGCAGAGCGCATGCTTAGCATGCACAAGGTCCTAGGTTCAATCCCCAGCACCTCCATTAAAAAAATGAATAAATAAATAAATAAGTTGCTCTGTTACTATAATAAATCAACCAGGCTGTACTTTTGTTATACCCATCACAAGCTCTTCATTTTTTCAGGTAAGACAGCTTATGGGGTAAAAATGCCATTCCTTCTAATCACCATTCATACCATTAACGAGATTTTAATCATCATATTGCTTTCCTTTCTATAGACTGAATTATATCAACTCCACATTTTTCTCACAGAATCAGAGAACTTGCAAGAACCAAAATTACCTTAGACTTCACTGAAAGAAACTTTCAAACAAAATGAAAACCAAAATTTATGTTTTATTTTAAAAACTGGTCCTCAGCAGTGGAGATCCGTCACAATTATGACAGGCTTCCTAGGCACCCTGGAGACCTACTGAATACCTACCACGACACCTGAGGCCAGGTGGCAGTTTAGAAAACCTCCCCACGTGACTGTGATGAGGGAACAATAATTATAAGAATATGTAATTATACACAAAAAGACACTTGAAGTCTTCTTCACTATACCAGTACTACGTCAGTGGATATGGTTATAAAAGCTCTATAAAAGTTTTATAGAAATTTAAGAAGGCACAAAAACAGTTCAAAAGAGAAGAGAGCTTTTTCAACGTACGATGGTGGAGCAATTGGACATCCAGAAGGAGAATAATGAGCCTCGATGTAAGCTTTATGGAAAATTAACTCAAAATGAATCATAAGTTTAAATGTAAAATGCAACACTATAAAATCTTCTAGGTAACATGGAAGAAGATCTCTGGGGCCTACAGTTAGATGAAGAGTTCTCAGATGAGATACCAAAAGCATAATAACCCATAAAAGAAAAGAAAAAAAGGATAAGCTGACAAGCCCTGGAAAGAGGATGAAAAGACAAGCTACAGTCTGGGAGAAAACATTTGAAACCACGCATCTGACAGAGGACTCATGCCTATTAAAACAAGCACAGAACTCTCAGAAGTCAACAGTAACGAAACAAACAATCCAACTTGAAAATGGGCGAACGTCTGAAGAGGAAAATAATGATCATGGCAAATAAACACATGGAAAGACATTCAATATGACTAGCCATTAGGAAAATCAAAATTGACCTGATTAGCCATTAAGGAAATGCAAATCAAAACCACAGTGAGTTAGCACTACACACCCATCAGGACGGACAAAATTGAAAACAGTGACATTACCAATGCTGGCAAGGATGTGGAGAAACTGCTCTCATACACGGTGAAACACAGCTTAGCATTTTCTTGAAAAACTAAACATATACATGCCATACGACCCAGCAACTGCACGCATGGGCATTCATCTCAGAGTAATAAAAACTGGTGTATGTACAAAAGCACAATTGCTCACAGCAGCTCTATTTCCAATAGCCCCAAACGGGAAACACTTAAAATGTCCCTCAACAAGCCAACAGTTAACAAATTGTGGTACATCCACACCAGGAGTGTTACTCAGGAGTGAAAAAGAACAATCTATTGAGACACTCAGTGACGTTCAGGATCTCAAGGGTGTTAGCAAGGTGAACAGAAGCTACTTCCAAAAGCTCACATACTGTGTGATTCCATTTGTGCAACCATCTCAGTATCACAGAATGACAGGGATGAAGAACAGAATAGCGGGGGCCAGAGGTCAGAGATGGTGGGGGAGAGGGCGGCGGGTGGGACTACGAAGGGGTACCCCAAGAGGGAGACCTCTGTGATGGTGAAACAGCACCTACACTGAGCTGGTAACTACACAAATCTACACAGAACTACATACACGCCCTGTACCAGCACAAATCTCCCTGTTTTGCCACTGAACAATAACACTGGGGGAAACTGCACGAAGGGTGAACAAGGTCTCTCTGTATGCTTTTTGCAAATTTCTGTGAATCTATAGTTATTTCAAAATAAAATGGTAATCAGAGAAGTTTTATAGAAATGTAAGAAACTGCCTCAACTTTCAACCTTTAATACAAAATCTATAGGCTTATAAAAATAAAGGAAATATATGAATCAAAATATAAAGTTAGAAAAACAACGTTTGCAAATGATATAAAAATCAATAGGAGATCAAACATATAAACAGCATGCTCGAGTTTTGAAATTCAGCACTTACCTTAGATTTGTCATCGCCTGAAGCCCTTGTGGCTTCGTTCAGAGGGACGGCCCCATGTTCCCTTGCCTCTTTGAAAAGTTCATTCACAATTTTCCCAGTTGAAGGTCGGACTATGTGTAATCCACTGTATTCATGTTCACCTGAACAGAACCTTTAAACAGTATAGTTCATGAATAAAAACAGAATACAAACATAAACTACTTTAAAGCAAAAACCTACAGAGTGTTAGGAAAAGATTTTTTTTTAATTTAAAATGAGCCATTTCTATGACCTCTCTGGAAATACTTAATTTTAAAAACAGGATTAAGGAATTCAGTAGCAAATAGTTCATACACGTGTTTTCACGACGTCTGCCGAGACGCTGGCAGCTGGTGCAGCCTCTCTCGTGAGAACGAGCCTGTTTCTCCCTCCCTCACCCGTGACTGCTTCTCACAAGCATCCTTACAGCTCGCGGTGGGGACCGCCCTGCTGAGGCCCAGAGGCTAAGTCTCTTCCCCCACGGAACCCACACTCAGGAGGACCTGGTTAGGGAAGAGACTGCAAGATTTCGATAGCGCAACATCTAAATTAGACCACGGGGCTAAAACACAGTTCACATTTCAGAGATTTTTGGATTGGAAAATTAATCCCCCATATTAAAGGTAAGTAATTTAAACCACAGTTTTTTTTTATTGTATTAACTATGTAGTGAATGATTTCTACACTTTTTCCTATTTCATAAAGGTCCTAGGGAACATAAAAATTTCCTTTACATAAAATTAGGACCTCATTGTATCTTTCAAGGCTTTTTTCCAATCAAGGATATCAGAAAACATAACCAATGATGCGTCAACATGGAGACTTCCTGAATAAGATGACAGTTGAAGCTCATATGCCTAACTACCTATACCCTCCAACACAGTTCCACATCTGCACTGAAATGACTCACACAACGAGACCAACGGGGAGAATCCTATCAGCCCTAGAGACTAGCCAGGGGCAGAAGTCACCTTCAGGACTTTCCCCAAATGAGTACATGCAAAACCCAACAGGAAAGGGAAGGGCAGCCTAGCCCTCCACTCACTGTAGTGGAAGAAAGATCCCGTGGTGGAGAACAAGGCACATGGCAGAACCCCCAACCAAGGCCAGCTCACAACTGCAGGGGGCGGGGCCCTGGGGAAGGACACCGAGGTTACCAGGGCAGGAGCCAAGGAAACCTTCCCGCCCAGCTGATACTCAGGGGGCCCAGTGCAGCACAGCAAGGCCAACACGGCCACAGTTGCTTTTCAGAGAAGGCTCCGTGTTAGAGGGAGCTTGAAACAGATGCCTTCAATGGCAGCACTGAGGAAGGAAGGGAAAGGGGAGGGAGGCAGGGGAGAGGGGCAAGGGGGGGAAGGGGGAGGGGAGGGAAGGGCAAGCTTCCTGCTGCAGCTGCTCCTGTTGCAACCCCTTCCCTCCTGTCTCTTGTTCTTCATCCAGCAAAGGGGACAACTACGTGGCTCCTTGTTCTCGGTCTTGCTGAGAGAGACCTCACAGAAAATTTGACATAGAAAAGATTTACTACCTTATTTATGGTCAATGATTTTTATAACCTATGTAAGCAATCTCTGTCTACCTTAAGGTCATGAAGACACTCTATTTTCTTCTGGAGTTTTATTATTTTGATGGAGGTGCTGGGGACTGAACCCAGGACCTCATGCACTCTACCACTGAGCTATACCCTTCCCCACCAATATGTGAATTACATATTCGTACGTATGTATGTACAGATACACACACACGTATATATCAAGTAAGAATTAAATAAAAGGATAGGATATTCAAATAGCGCCATGATACCAACCTGCAGATTATAGAGGACAACTGTACCTTACAATGGAGTGATGTGGTGGTCAGCACCTTAACCAAGTGAACATATCACCAATAGTGGGGCAACCTGAAATTATATGGCTCCTGATGTGACATAATTAATAGCAGACAATATCACTTACTAGCACTCTTGACAAATACGTTTACAAGAATCTAATCATGAGAAAAGAATGACCCTGAATGTGGGACATTTTACAAGACGTCTGGCCTAGGCTCTTCAAAGTCAATGTAATAAATTTTAGACTATAAAGATGAGCTAAGAGCAGACAACAAAGAAGTGGGAAGAATTCTCTGGATTAGGAGTCAAGACAGGCATCATCAGTGGAATGTATGGCCCTTGGTTGGGCTCTAAGACACATCTGACTGTGGACTATGTATTAAATGATTTTATGCTATTAGTGTTCATTTTCTAAGGTGTGAGATGTTATTTGTTATAAAGGAGAGTGTCCTTCTTAGGGGATGGTGTAGGCTGACATATCTGGGGATGGAGTGCTATGATGACTGCAATTTACTTTCTTTCTCTATTTTTTGTATAAATATATAAATACATATTTATTGAAGTATAGTCAGTTTACAACGTTGTGTCAATTTCTGGTGCACAGCATAAAGCTTCAGTCATACATGAACATACATACTGCAATTTACTTTCAAATAGTCGAGTAAAAGAGAGTGTGCATGAACGGGCTGCTGTAACACGTTAAGCACTGGGGAGTGTCGGTGCAGCAGATACAGCATATACTCACTGTCACAATCTTTTGGTTATCTATAGATTTGAGAAATTTGTAAAATAAAAACTTGGAGTAAAAATTATAAAAGTCTTTCTTTCTATTCAGGTCCAGAAAAATGTCATTTTTATCTCTCCCAAAGAAAGAAAGAATGTGGAGTAGTGACAAACATGAAAGAAAGAATTTCCAGTGAATTTTTCAATTTTTGGTAAAATAACAGACTTTCTGAGAATGAGATATATTGGGAAAATTCAAGTTTCTCCTCACTGATGAGATTTGCAGTACTAAAAAGACATTAATGAAAATGTTCCTGGAAACCAGAAAACTCATGATAAGAAAATACACCTGGTTCTTACCTATTAAATCTTCAAGGCTGGTTCTTTTTATAATCCAGGAATTTAAACAAATGCAAATACTATCTAGAAAATCACTTACTTGATGGGTCACCACCCAATGGGAGGACAGATTTCTGAAATTATAGATTCTTAAACGGAGGACAAAAGACACAGGGGCTCATGGGTGGGCTTTAAGAAACACAAAAACCCTTAAAAACGACTGACAAAATTGTGCATATCTGTTGTTTTGTGGGAGACGGACTGTAGCTTTTGTCAGATCCTCAGTGAGTTCTGTGACTTAAAAAAGAACCACTGTGCCCAAGAAAAATACTACTCAGTATAAAATGCTATATAATGTCTACCAAAATATTGGGGATTTAAGATAACAATTTTCCCATAAGTTTCTTCTAGCTTTCTGACTATTACAGTTTTAGAAATAGTACGCCTAAAATATTTATTTTAAAGAATTGTGGTTTAAAAAAATTCCCAAGGCCATTTAAAATAATTTGGGATTAGTGCTCTAAAAAGAGATACAATTTTAAAAAAACAAAACAAAACTTACCTTTGAGGTGGTGTTCGTGGGCTTTTAAAGACTGTAGCTTTAGGTCTATCAGCTTTGGAAGCCTTGCATTTCACTTCATCTTCATATAATTCTGCCAAGGCCAACTATGAAACAACAGATTTGTCATACAGTATAAAGCCACTAGAAACAAACCCTTCCCCGCAATGCGAAGTTTCGAGTAGAAAATCAGCTTGTATCTGAGCAGCAGATTTCTAATGAGAAGTAAAGGCTGTCGTTACAGATGACTCCGTTCCAGAACAAAACCATTGCATCTCTCATTTTATAAAACTAACCAAAATGCCAAATATAGTAGGATGAATTAAAGTTACAATAAGTGTTTAATTATTTTTAATGAACTAGTCAAGTTTCAAAAACTGTATTTGGTAACAAATCATTTTCAAAGTTGGGCCTACAATTCTTGAAGCTGTTTCACACTAGTGTCAGGTTGCTCTCATCAGATACCTTAAAATACTTCATTTAGCTGTTCTAGTTCTCAAAATCTGAGCACATAAAGAAATTCCAAAATTATTCTAATTAAAGGTTTACCAGACATATAAATTTCATCAAGTTTAGGAAAATGAGCTTCTAAAAAATAAAGGACAATGAATTATATACATACATTTTATATAACTTTTAGATAGCAAAATTGCCAAATTATGCTTTATTGATATATGGCAGGATAGCCTCGAAATGAAGTAAACATAGTTTTTGAAAATGGAATTTTAAAAAGTTATCCAAATGTTTCACTACTGTGTAAGTTATTTTGTTTCCACTTTTGACAGACTTGGACAAGAAGTCAAAAACTTTCCTTAATGCCCCTTGTGGCTATTCAATTAGAACTGGCATGACCATAATCTTTGGAAAAATCTTAAAAAAAAAAAAAGTCAAAAAAACTCCCTAAAAACCCAGATAAAGTGCTCCTTCTAGAAACATGAGAAATACGAAAATACCTCTAAGGGATTCTTTTCTCACTAGGAAAAGAAAAACAGGGAATTGGGGCAAAGTTAATTCTCTGAAGACTCTATTAGTCAACAGATCTGAATAAACTCTGTCAATCAAATAATAATTTTCTTCTGTAAAAAACAGAGTAACTCAAACAATGCCTTTTGACTCCATAGAATATGGAATATATATTAACAAAATAGGAATATGGAGAAAATCACATAACTAGAGCAGGGATTCCACTTAGCTGAGAGGGGAAAATGAATGGTATTTCGAGGAACTAACGCCAGGATCCATCATATGACATAAGTTGGTAAGCAAATATATTAAAGAAAGTTCATTTCTATTATTTGACATAGCACATGACACCACATCAGAAGAGGAAATGATCATTTAAACTTATCAAAATAAACTGGTGTATTAGTCTAAACCAGTAGAAAACAACAACAAATGAGTTAGAACCCTGGGCTGGGGCCCGGCAACCTGTGCTTAAAACGAGCCTTCCGCATGATTTCCATGCACTTTAAAACTGAGAATCAATGAATCAGAACCTTGCTCTCCGACAGGATTAGGGCACTGGTGGCAAGTTTAACAGCATCAGACACTCTTGCTCTTTCCTCTCTCCTAGAACTCCCTTTTTTGCCCCCTAACCCTAATAAGTACTGAAGTTGGCCCTAATTCTCCCCAACTCCATCCTACATGGAAATAAAGAATTGAAAACAGCCCTTTTTCTTTTGATATTATTCTGGAGGAAAACTGGGACAGAAGTATACGATTAAATACCTTAACCATTAACTCGATGTGCGTGGACAGCCTCGGGGGCACCAGGAGAGACAAAGGGCTCTGAAAATGTTCAGAAATACTAATGAACACCAGGGGTTTTAGGGTTCGTACTGTCAGTCCTGTCCCAAACTTTCCACTGAACATTCCCAGTTTTGGAGGAAGAGGGCTAAGATCTATTCCTGGTTTGAGACCCAGGGGAAATTTCTATGGTTTGTGAGTCAGAGGCTCACTGTGCTGGGAGACTTCCTGGGAGATGACTACCCATCTTTTCCTCTAGTGGAGAATGAGGAGATCTCTCCTGGTTTAGATCTCTCCCTAGGTGGCATGGCAACTAAGACCGTCGGTGGGGGTGGGGGTAGGGGTGGGGGTGTTTGCTTGTTCCGGTTAGTAATACATCACCCTTCTCCTCCATAACACTGCAAAAGACTCTTAGAGCAAGATGTCAGGAAAGTAAAAAGTACCTACTGAAACCAACTAACAGGGTAACTCTTAAAAGAGGCATGGCTAGATTAAACAAGATAATCCCCAAATAATCAATATTCAAGAAACCAGCTGGGGAGAAGAACATTATCCAATTCTTTTAAACCTTTGATCCATATACTATTTCTTCAGATGTCATCTCTTTGGTTATTTTCAGGTTTCTATGCAACTTCTTCATATTCTTATTAAATTCTAAAGAAAACATCATCAATACTTAGTGTATCTGATATACCAAATCACAGTCATTAAAAAAAACAATTATCTACCTAAACCCACCTACCAGAAAGTAGACAGGGGATAAAAAACACCCTTGTTTTCTAATTGATGGTGGAAAGGAAGGCATTCTGACAATTAGCAACATCTGTCACATCTCCAGCTATCAATCATATCTTACTCCACTGGATTAAGTCTAAATTTGTCAGGTATCAGGTGATCATTAACCAAGATGTTTTCCGTTTTCACATAAAAAGAACAAATAGATTTAAATTAGAGAAAGGATATTAAGTTACATAGTTTAAACCCTAAAGGCATTAGAATGGACTACCCAGTGAAACTTATTGTATTCTACTCTTTTAAGGGAAAAAGAACCAAGTATTTACTAAGCAGTACTGAGCCGGGATAATCTGGGACTGAACAGGGACTTTACAGACATTTATTTCAACCTTGACACCACCAACATCACCCTGAGTTTACACATAAAGACGCTGAGGATCAGAGAGGTTAAGACATTTCTCCTATAGTCACACAACTACTATGTAGCAGGGCCAAGATGCAAACCGAAGTTGTTCTGACCAGAAATTCATTTTTTTCCCCAACAGCCCGTGCTGCCTCTTAGTGACAGTGGTCTTCAATAGAAAAGATGAGGTACGAGATCTTCCTGTTCCTTAATTCTGTTTATACTACTGAACTGACTTCTGAACACTGTAACTCTTCTACACTGAGTTCATCTAGTAACCCGACACTAATCACTCCATCCTCCAAATCCATCATTTTATGCACTGCTTATCTTGGCATTTCAATCATATTCCATCTTCAAATATTATGCTAAATACATTCATATCTTATTTCTGCAAATAATACACAGAAATGCCTTTACACTTCTATACCCTTCAACAGTGTCCCAGCACCAACTGTGGACCTCATGTCCTATTTATTTCTGCATTCTCAGAGCTTAGCAGTATGTTACGTGGCAGGTGGTCAATATGTTTGTTGAAAGAAGTAGAATGAAGGTATGGCGATAAAGTAATAGAATTTTCCTACCAAGGCTTGTGGATTCAGTCTCATTTGTTTTTAGTTATACCTCTTTAAAGATGTTTAGTTGTTGAATTTTATCAACGACCTTATAAAGAGACAGTGAAAAACAAAACAAAACAAAACCTAAAACGAGTAGTGTTAAGCATCTGACAGCAAGATTTGGTGCGCTCCTATTTACCTAACGTCAATGTCCTATAAAGTTTTATTTCCCGGTTTCTTACGTGCAGTAGTTTAGACAGTACCTGGTAACTAGGCTGCGCAGCCGTAGATGAAATACTTCTTAGTTCACCCCTTTAAAAGGGAAAAGCTATCTGATAAAAAGGAAGCCTTTTTATATCTAAGTAATCAAGCCAGAAACAGCATCCAAGACAAGAAAGCTCAGAGCAGCACACGCTGTTACTTTCTCAGTGACCGCTGACTTCCCCACGACCACAGCAGGTGAGTCTCCTGACGGAGGCATCAACGCGTGAAGCCCTCCACCGACCCCACCAAATGCCACTCTAAATCCACAGCTGCGGCTTAAACTGCAAATGGAGGGGAGGGAGAACGAGGCGCAGGCTCCCAGGAGAGCCGGGCTCGGACACCTGTGTCCACCGACGCCGCCGTCGGGCGCGCCGCCCGGGGAGACC